CCTAGAACACCCATACATTGCTGTTCTCCCGTTTTTGGGACTATTTCCCTGTCCTCTACTTGAAGAGCATGCCAGCCATCCACATTTTGGGGGAAGAATTTGCATTAACTCCCTCATGGCCTATGGTTCTGACGGGGAGGGTGTGTGGCACAGCTGCTGGGGGTGTGCAGCCACAACTCCTGGGGACTTGCTGGTGTAAGTGATGACTGAATTTTTTCCCCATCAGAGCGACAGTGTTGATTACTTGCTGTTCAAGCCAGATCTTGTCTGATGCACCAGCAGGGAATGGCTGCTGTGTCCCACATCCTGGTGTTAACAAATGCCCAAAATAATGAAATCAGGGCCCTGGTGCTGATGGTTTTTGGCTTTACTCCCAGGGCACTGAAGGAAAAAGTGGGGAGTTGAGCCTTGGGGAGACCTGAAGTTCAGGCTGCAGCTGACAGTGAAGAGGTGTGTGATGTGGGCAGTTGTCCGGTTTGCTCTACCGTGCCTGAATCTCTAGCAAATAATGGTAAGCCTTTGAAGTAAGTGTGAATCACATTTAATTAAATTTACAAAGGAGAAGGGAGGGGGGAAGGGGAAGAAATACCTTTCTGCAAGGGAGTTGCTTCCACTTTATCCCTACAGACCATACTGATGAGTGTTAGCCTAAGTAACGTAAAAGTGAGAGTACAGGGATTTTCCTCCTGCAGAAACATTGCTTTGAGGCCCTTTGGGCCTCTGGTTCCACCATGTCCAAAGTGAATAGCGACCAGCAGGCCAGGAAGCTGCAAGCTGCCCCTATGTGAGCTGAGCTGGAACAGCATGGTGGCTTACAGCTCTGTCCTGTGTGCTTCCCTGCTGCTTTGTGTTCAGAGGGCTCATTGTAAGGGCCCTGTGTGATGGGCAGCCCCAGCAGCTGCCCCAGTAAGGAGCAGGAACCACTCTGGCTGAAGCTGTCCCTGTGGAGGTGCTGCTGGCAGGGCTCCTGTGCCCTGACCCTTGCTGGCCAGCTTGAGGGAGTGCAGAGGATTGCCAGAGTGGGCATGGCTCTGGCTCTGCTGCTTCCTCTGCTGTTAGCCCAGAGTGCCTGCGGCTCTGCCAGGGATGTGGGAGTGTGGCACAGCTGCTGGGGGTGTGCAGCCACAGCTCCTGGGGACTTGCTGGTGTCAGTGATGACTGAGTTTTTTCCCCATCAGAGCGACAGTGTTGATTACTTGCTGTTCAAGCCAGATCGTGTCTGATGCACCAGCAGGGAGCGGCTGCTGTGTCCCACACCCTGACAGGGTCTGGTGCTGACAGTTCCTCTGGCTTTACCCCCAGGGCACTGTGAAGGCAGAGGTGGGGAGTTGAGCCTTGGGGAGACCTGAAGTTCAGGCTGCAGCTGACAATGAAGAGATGTGGATGAGGACATTGTCTGGTTTGCTCCACCATGTGTGCCCCTTTGTCAGGGGAGAATGGTAAGCCTTTAATTCACCTGTGTTCACTGGGTTTAATAAAGAAAAAAGGGAAAGAATACCTTTTTCCAAGGAAGTTGCTTCTGCAGTGCCTTGACAAGTTAAAGTCCCTGGATGTTGGGCAGAGTGGGGATTAGTATTGCAGAAGTATCCCTGTTAAAAAAGTAGTTTTCCTGCAGGGAAGTTCCTGCTAAAGTGTTTTCCAAAGATCTCAAATTAAGGGCAGAGAGGTCTGAAAGATTTCAGTTCAACTTCAAGATTATAAAGGTAATGTTTTTGTCTTGTCCTATTTAAGCAGTGTTAAGGTACTTTTGCAAAGTCTGGGAGCTTTTGTTCTTTATAGTTTTTGAGTTCACTCCCCCCAATGGGAGGTTCTCAATGTCTTGAGAAGTGGATGAAAGTCATGCTTTCAGCAATGTGTTTGTAAGAGAGGGATTGCTTTTGGTGTTCTTTTTGTTACTTGAAGATAAACTATGTGACATCTGAAAATCTGTCTGTCTGGTTAGCATTTCACTAATTTTTTAGAAAATGTGCATAATAGAACTTCATCAGATCATCAGTTCCAGCCTGATGTTGCTGTTGAGAGCAGCTGCTCTGTCTCCCAAGAGCAGGATTGTGCCCTCACTCAGCAAAAGCATGCAAGTACTCAGTTCAAATGGTGGAGCTGGTTGAGCTGACTGAATGTTTCTCTGGCACTCTCTGCCCTGTTAGTTCTTGTCAAGTCCTGCCGTAAAGCTCCTGCAGTGCAGTTTGAGTTCACCCTGTTTGGAGTGCTCGGCATGGAGGAAACTCCTCCTCTTTAGAGAGTAGCTGTTGTCTAGTGGTTTTTATGGGGCTGGAGTGGCTTTGTGGTACAGTGGATAGACAGAATGTTGTCTGTTCTCTTGACAGGTTGAGATTTACAAAAAGTTGTCCTGGGTCCTGCTGGAGTTTGAGTGTTCTGCTTAAGAAGATGGATGGTTCTGCTGCTCCCATGCAGCTGTCTGGGATCCTCATTCAAGCCACAGCATTCCCATACCCTGCAATAGTTCTGACCTCTCAAAGCCGTCAGGAGTGACGAGTTTGTGTCCTGCCAGCTTAGAGGGTGCTACAATTTCTGTCCCCTGGGTACAAAGCATGTAACTGGAATGGATTGTGGAACTTGCCGTGTGTTTAATGCAGTTGGATACTTTTGTGGGCAGGGGCTGCGTTCCCTGCCTGGCGCAGATCATGCCATAGCATGCAAGGCAAGGAAGCCTTTCCTGAGCTACTGGGAGGCTGGATGGCCTTGTGTGTAAGGAGGGGCGTCAGGGCTTGGTTCTCCCCTGCCATCCAGAAAGCTGCAGTGCTGTATCCCTGGCAGCTTGTGAAGCGGGCAAGGTGTGTCGGGTGCTGCAGCCCAGTGTGTTTCTGTACTGTTAGAAGCCTGGTTTTAATAAAATCTTGAGTAATGGGTTGGTTTGGCTGGTAACTGAAATTCTCTTGACCCAGTTTAACAGTTCATTCCTAGATCTCGCAGCGGTTTGGGGAGTTGGAGAGCACAGCACCAGCGTGCTGCTGTGAGTGGTGCTGGAGCTGCCTCAAGCCAGGAGGTGTCTCATGGCAACAGCGCTCCACATACCCTGGAGCAGGAGTGCTTGGCTGAGGCTGGGGCTGTGCTGCCGGTCTGGGGAGAGGTGCAGTTTGCTCATCTGCATAATTAATCAGTTTCAGTGGTTCTGGGATGGGGCTTGAGGTGTCTGAGCTGAGGGTGGGCTTTGGCATGTGTGCTTAGTGGGAAACAGCAATGATGGAAAATCGGCTACTATTCAACATTCAGAGCAGTCTTCAATTAAATTGAGTAGAGATTTTTCTTATTCAATTAATGTAAGCAGCCTGATCCCTTAAAACTGCTTACTGGTGAGGGACCAGAACTGCTGCTAATACAATTACTTTCATTAATGTAATGAGCAGACCCACCAGCAAACATTCTGTAGTAGGAGAGGGTGCTTGTCCAATGGGAGCTGGAGAGACCTGCAGCTGAAACACATTCTTGGCACGTTCTGTTGCCTCTGCAAGAGCAGTTGCTCAGGTTAGGTTTCAAGCTCTGCTGCTATTGCATGTATGCATCTGGATGAAATTTGAAACTTGGTAGGTTACTAATCCACCCTGGTTGGTACATTACTAATCCCGGGCAACCCCTGAATGCTGCAGGGATGGTTTGGGCACCTGGGGGCACCCGGGGCAGGGTTTGGGCTCCTAAAGGGGAAACGGGGCAGGGTTTGGGCACCTGCAGCGCTGCTGCGGCCCGCAGGGGGC